ATATATAGAACATTCATAATTGTTTTGCATGTGAAAAACACACGAAAATACGTTTATATATGACACATACACACGAGAAAAAAAAACATGACACAATATCAAACATAATTTAATATCCAACTATTGAATGATTTAGATTGATTTTCATGAGTTTGTAACATTTGGTGGTTTTATTTTGATTGTTGATATATGTGTGTGTATACATATATAGATAGAGGTTCAAACGAGAACAATTATGTTTTACGAGAATACGAGAACATTTATAGGTTTTCAAATATTTAACCCACAATTAAAATTAAAAGAAAATAAAGTAATTAATTAAGAACGATCATGTGACTGATTTCGTATTTATCTGTAATTTCTGTGGCATCTTATCTCTAAAATCACATACAAATAATACGATAACCGGTATCAAATAATTTTCACAGCAAAATCACACAATGAATAGATATGTCGACTAATATAGACATGATATCATCGTTGGTTTTTTATTATTACAACATTATCATATCACCATCACAACAATAATAATTAGATAATTATTATATCAAAATCACAGCATAAACAATCTTCGATTTATCTAATCATTATCACATTATTATCACCACAAAATCAGATCATTATCACATCATTATAAATAATGAACGTATCGACATAAAAAATTTCCGATTATAATAACAAAATTCAAGGGATAAAGATAAATACAGGAAAAAAAATTAGTAATAAATATTAATTTATTTTCATTTATTCTATTTTTTATTATTTGTTAATTAATTTGGAGGCCCAAAGTGTTTTCGCATTTTTCGTAAAACATTGATGTTCGATCTCGTTTACAGGGACGGACCCAGATTTTTTTTTAAACTGTGGCACCATTTGACCATAAGAAAAAAATATAGAATTTTTTTTTTCAAATGGTGACACCGTTTGACTATAAGAAACAAATATACATATTTTTTTCATACGGTGGCACCGTTTGACTATAAGAAACAAATATACAAAATTTTTTTCAAACGGTGGCACCGTTTGATTAAGAAAATGACACTAACATGATTCGAACTTGGGTGTGGGGTGGAATAAAAGCTTTGCAAACCAACTTTACCAAATAAAACTTGTTCTCATTGTAGTTTCAAAATACATACGGTGACACACAACAAATTAATATGGTTGCACCGTTCACGAAACCTAAATTTTTTACTCTTCGGCGGAGAAATGATACGGTGACACGTGCCACTCATGGCACCTAACCAGGTCCGCCCATGCTCGTTTAAACTCTTCCCTATATATACCAGCTTAGAATACATTGAAACATATTGATATGGGAGATCATAATTCCACAACAAGATGAAAATATTAACATAAAGTATACATTTTTTCCTATATTTCTCGTACAGTCTGTAAAAATATATATTTTTTGAAATAATCTATGCTGATTTACTACATACTACATAATTAATATAAAATGTCCCAATTAAGCTACAAGACATAGTTTTTTTTATATAAAATATATAATTTATGCAAGAATCATGCCATTGAGATGAGCTCTTTTTATTTTTAATTAAATGGATTATTTTTTTAATGGTGGGAAATACATAAAATAAGGGATAAATTAAAATAGCAAAAAGGGGAATATGATACATTTAAAAAGGGGGACAAAAAGTGAAATAATACACCTTGGAAGTATTCTAGAAAATATGCCAAAATTTGGGAGGTGGCTTTTACATTAATTCACTTGTGAATGATTGATTAGCTTCTTGAAAATTTAGATTTAGTGCTCTTTTTTTAACTAGGGAATCTTACGAAGCCAACACTACCACAAAGGGAAAATGGATGAATGGGTGTAATAGATACACCCCTTCCTAAAAAAGGGTTAAAATGTAATTTTACATCAGTTTTTATCAAATAAGTTTTTATCAGATAAATATATGTGAAAATGAAACTTAGTTCTGTTTCATTTTTGTTACGGGACTTGTAAAAGTAAACCGTACATTGAGGAGTGATGGTTCATGACTTATCATTTAAGAGGTGCTGAAACCAAACGGACCATCAGTTATTTCATTAAAAGATCTAAGCATATGTAACCTTAATCAAAGAGAGTAGAACGAATGTGTGGTTTATATAAATAAAAGAAAAGAAAAGTTGGTTTTATTTAAAGTACAAAATCACAATTCTCCAAAATTAAGGGTTACATTTATGGGGTTTTCCAGATATGAATGAAACCAACAAGTGAGATTTGTTTGATTCATGAAAATTTAAGCATCTGTACAGATAGAATATGATGAATTAATTATTGAAATTAGAAGGGTACTTGCACAATACAACGAGATACATTTGAATTTTAATGTTTTGTGTTTTTTTTTTGTCTCAGTCGATGTTATAATACAGTTTTATGTGGTTTTGAGAAAGCGATACTGTTTTTTTAATGAAATATAAATATGGAGATATCATAAAGAATTGAAAAAGAAAATATTGATATTAGTACCAAACTAACTATTTAAAATTTATTCATTTTTTGTGTATTTCTTTATTTCTATTTTTTTGGTTTAGTAATATAATTTTTTTATAAAGATAATAATTAAGTATTTTGTTAGAAGTCAGTGACTATCATAATTATATTTTAGATTTTTTATATTTAAAATGTAATGTTTATCTTCTACTTAATTATATTTATCTATAGTTAATTATATGAATTCAAATATGAAGTTTTAATAAATTATATTTATACATAATTTATGTATAATATTTAATTTTAAATAATATATATTAATAATCAATATTTTATATATAAAATAATTTTTAAGAATTTTTATTAAACGATGAAAATTCCCTTTTCTTGAAAAAGCCCATTTGAGCGCCTGGGCTTTGCTATTGTCTGACAACAATCATTTAATCCATTTTAGACCCATATCAAGGTACTGCTACTGCTGAGTGCTGACCGGTACTTGGCGTTTGGCAACTATCTTTTATTTCTCCTTTCACATCATTTTTTGAATAAAAAAATTATTAAAAATTTTCATTATCAATGATTAAAAATTCAAACTATTTTTTTAAATAAAAAATCATTAAATTTATATATATATAAAATAAAATAAACCATCGAATTTTTAAAAATTAGAGATTGTCATATTTTTAACCAAAAAAACTACTTATATTCGGCTAAAAAAATCTTAAAGTAAAAGTACTTGTAACCCTATAAAAGTATATCAAAAAGAGGGAGATTAATGAGAGGGGCCAAAAGTGTGATAGTTAATATGGAGAACAAACAACGATGAGATGACAATGAGTGAAGAGGGGAGTGATACCATTTTTTGTATGGGTTTAAAGAGTGTAGAATTTAGAAACGGTAAAACTGATTTGGTTTTTTTACTTTGAACTTTCTTAGTCGGTTACACATATGTTTTTTTGTTAAGAAAATATGGGTAACCAATTTTTAAAAGTTCGATGGTCTATTTTTTACAAAAAAAAATATCCAGAGACTTGATCATTGAAAGTGGGAAAAGTCTAATGGTCTTTTTCATTAAAAAATTAGTTCAAAGACTTAGGGGCCGTTTACCTTAAACAGTTATCCGGTAAGCACTTACAAGTAAAATTCAACACTATCGCTTACTTACCGGACAAGATTTTATTTACTAAAATACATTGTATGCAACGATTTATCCTGGTAAGCGCTAGAGCCTTCGTCTTCATTTACCGTGTAAGACTCTCGATTCTTGCATTCGCTCTTACTGGGTAAGATTTTTAGTCCTTGCCATATTCATATGGTAAAGTAAAGTGACTTGGTAAGCGCTAGCGTTTGGTAAACGACACCTTAATCATTCAAAATGATAAAGTTTGATGGTTTTTTCATTTAAAAAATTAGTTCAAAAACTTAAATTTGTTGTTTGTGTTCCTAATTTAATGGTTGGTGCATATAATTGTTTGAAAAGATTCATAGGGAATCCCGTAAATCAAGATTTGTGGGCTCATCTTGTGGTTATATATGCTATCACAAGAAAATGTGAGAATTAATCTTGGCCAATCCCGATCTAATAACCTCGAGTCTGACATTGGACCATACCCGATAAAACTCAAATTTTAGTTGCAGTCGAGCCTGATATAAAACCCAAAAAAGGCTTAATAACCCTTATGTACAAAAGCATTGCAAAAAGACCAATTTTTATATATTCACTTTAGTAGCATAAAGAAAACTATCCTTGGAAAATTCAATTTTTATGATATCAAAAACAATCATTTATGGTGTGTCTGGTGTCCAGACAGGGACATGACAGAACAAAACAGGACATGATAGGATAGAACAATTATTTAACGTTTGGTAAGATAAAATTGGACATAGTAGAGCAAGTAAAATGACCAATTTACCCTTAATGAGTTGTTTATTGTAATCAATGTAGGTAATTTATTAAATTATGATAAAATAATAATTATTTTTTATAATAAAATATATTATTTGAAAGTTTTCGTCAAAACAATTAAAATGACACAAAATAAAAAGTTTATTTAGTTTTCAATTTTTATTTTTATCTATTTTCTACATTGTTTTTTTATTATTAATATATAATAAATTACATAAATTAATAAAAATAAAGAAAACGTATAAAAATAATATTTTGAGGAAAGTAAAACGAAAGTTTAAGAAACATAAAATACAATAAATAAAATTTAAAGAATGAATAAAATGTAAAAAAAACGTATTTGATGTTTTAGAAGAAAATTAAATTTTATTTTGAGGTTATATTGATAAAATATAAGTCTGTTACACTTTGTTTTACCATATTTCATGGGGTAGAGGTGGAACAGACCTGTTTCACTTTATTCCACTCTATTCCATATCAAAATAATGTCAAAAAAGACAAAAATTCCTGTCCTGTTCTGTCCGATGTACCAACCGCACCTTAAATCCATGATATTTCATAAGACCATCCAACTCTGAAAGAATATTAATAAGGTCCTTGTTATTATGGCAATCTAACTAAACCACCTTCGCACTCGACAAATTAAAACGAGAACCCTAGCAACACCAATCACTGTTTATTAGCTACATGACTGCACTCTGATCAGCAAAAACCTTCAAAAAATGGCGTCAATGTCGATCTTAACTCGTAAATGGAGACCTCTTTCCAAAACCCTAAACCCCAAATTCATCACAACCTACGCCTTTCTCTCGCAAGAAGCTCAATTAGCCGAGGAACCACCATCGCGGCCGGCTTCTACCACTCCACTACCACCGAACCCCGCTACCGGAAGCCCACTCTACAATGAGAACTGGCGAAGCCCTATTCCGAACCTGTCCTCTCAATCCTCCTCTTCTCTTATCCCCCTAGGGTTTTCGCAACAACATCCGTCCTCTCGCATTGAGGCTCTTTCACAAACCCTAGATGGTGACGGGATCGTGAACTTGTTTGCAGATTGGATGACGTCACAAAAGTGGTCAGATATAAAGCAGTTGTTTGAGTTTTGGATTAGGTCGTTGGATAACAGCGGGAAGCCTAACAAACCTGATGCAAACATGTATAATCATTACTTGAGGGCTAACCTTATGATGGGAGCTTCTGCCGGTGAGTTGCTGGATCTTGTTGCACAAATGGAAGATTACGCGATTGCACCGAACACCGCTTCGTTTAATTTGGTGCTCAAGGCAATGTATCAGGCTAAAGAATCTGAAGCTGCTGAGAAATTGATCGATCAGTAAGCTATGGATGATCTTGTTTCAAATTTATTTAGATTCGTTTATTGATGTTGTAAGTCTTTGTGTTTGTGCAAGTTTGAACATGTAGCCAGTACATTTAACAATTCGTGTGAAAATCATAATCCATTAGCCCCAAATAAAAACTACAATTTGAATTTCAAAGGAGGGACATTGCTGACCTACTTACAGTAGGAAGTGGGAACAAATATAAAACACAAAGCTGCAACAAAATCTTATTAGGGCATATCTGTTAGTAGCTTAATGGGACTCGCAGCTTATTCGGTCAGCTATACATGACTGTATACATGACTGTGACTGTTTGGCAGTGGCTTAATGATATAGAAAGTGGCTTATTCTGTAAGATTCTAGGGGGAGCTTTATGCAGAAAGCCAAGTTTTTCTCAAAATCTGTCCCTCCTAATTAAAAAACGAGCTCCATCCATCTTTGAGAAAACCCTTCCAAACAAAAACTTTCCTAATCTAGAGTTCTAGACAGACAATCAATCCACAAAGACAACTTTATCCATACAAGACTTAATGGAAAACCAACCAAACAGCCCCTAAGTGCCCTATTAGCTATGCCTATGAATTGACTTCAAAAATGGGTAAAGTACCCTCTTTCTTTAGTTGTAAGTATAAAAACTGTCCTCACATGGTACTTGTGAAAAGAATCATACAATAAATTAGTATAGTTCACATTGAAATTTGAATGTTTGTGAACTTGTGCAATTGATCCCTTAGCAGTTCGAGTTTGTGATACTGAAGGATGTAAAGAAGGAAGGAATTCAGGTTAGATTTCTAGCCGTCTATGGTGGGATTGTGTGTTTGAATACTACTACTTTAGTCTTTTAACTTTGGTATGGTGGTTAGAAAGCAATATCATAGAATATTATGTTTTACAAAATGCCGAATTTTTTGGTTTTGAGGTGTATTCAAGTATACGAGCTTAGTAGGCGAATGCCAAATGCGAACAGACATTGTATTTGGTCTGAAATTGTTGCATGGAATTGACTGGAGTAGATGTTATGTTGAGTGGCTTTTCAAGCATAATACTGATATCAACTGTTATATAGTACAATATTTATGACATGTATTACTCTTCTGTGCTCTATAGTAGTCCTACTTTGACTTTGTATATAAAAAACCTGCATCAATTGTATATTTGTATAATTGACAAATGAACATATTTAAGTTTTGAGAAAGAAATAGATAACTACATTAAAATCTACAATAAGTGTTATAGATACAAATGGAATTACAGATATGGTTAAAGACGGTTTGACACTAAAATCTAAAAGTAGGAGAACTAGTAGAGAATGGAGTACCATCTAGGAAACCTTATTTCTTGTGGTAAACATGGAGTTTTCCCATTATGATTGGTTTATTTTTTGAAATTTGTACTTGAAACCTCATTTATAAAGAAGCCACATACTTCTGAAACCAAAAAAATACCCTCTAGCTGGTGTATATATATATATATATATATATATATATATATGATATGTAGCCTTGCGCATTTAAGCCATGCCTTGGCTCTTAAGCCTTGAGATTTTGACCTCACCGGCATGCTCGCCCTACACCATCTAGAATCTTGGGTGACTGAGTGATACATTTGAGTTATCAAGTTCTTGCCTTTTTGATTGAGAGACTTGTCTATGTTCCCACAAGCCATCAACTGTTTATAATGGATCTGAATTCCATGTATCAGGATGATCCAATCTGGAAAAGAATCAAAAGGTGCGCCTGATGAGGAGTCCTATCACCTGGTTGTTCTGTTGCTGCTAAATCAAAATCACATTGATGCTGCATTGAAGTACATTGACTTAACCTTAAAATCAGGGTATATGCTGTCAGTTGAAGTATTCACAGAGTTTGTCAGCAGCTGTGTGAAAACAGGAAAGCTGGATACATTAGTATCAATAATAGAGAGATGTAAGGTATGTTTCTTCTTTCAAGCTTTGTTAATATATCCAATGTCGTAGACTTACGATTGTTTTTTTCTTAACTGATGTAGCATTTTCTTTTGTTGTCAGAAAATGGATCAAAACAAAGCCTTGTGTCCACCTTGGAATTTGTGCAATTATATCATTGATGTTGCAATGCAAGCGGATAATAGCGAGTTAGCATATTATGGTCTTGAGTTCATGGCGAGATGGATTGCTCGTGGAGAAATTGCAAGACCACCTGTGTTGCTTTCTGTAGATGAAGGATTAGTAGTAAATGCACTTACAACTGCTGCTAGAAATTATAACTCTAAACTCTTAGATGGCACATGGGCAATCCTCAAACGCTCTTTACGCCAAAAGAAAGTGCCCAGCCCAGAATCTTATCTTGCTAAGATCTTTGCCCATTCTTCATTGGGGAATTTGCAGAAGGCTTTCAGTACTTTGCATGAATTTGAGATATCTTATAAAGATTCTACTAAAGAAGCTGAAGAAGACATGTTCTCTCCGTTTACCACCTTATATCCATTGGTTGTGGCATGCTCGAAGAACGGATTTGCAGCTTTAGATGCGGTATGTGTTGCATTCATTTTTGTGGTGTTTTACTTGGTTTTCATGACATCTGTGCTAACTTGATGTTCTTATTTTACCTAGGTTTATTATCAACTAGAGAATTTGAGCAAGGCAGATCCTCCATACAAGTCTGTTGCTGCACTAAACTGTGTTATTTTAGGGTGTGCGAATATATGGGATGTTGATCGAGCCTATCAAACTTTCAGCGCCATGGAGACAAGTTTCGGATTGACTCCTGACATCCATTCATATAATGCTCTCCTGTGCGCATTTGGGAAGCTCCATAAGGTTAATAATGGCGCATGTCCATGCGACGCCCATTCTTTACCCCGTGATCTATTGAAGTTATAAAAAAATCTCATGGGTTATTATGGTTGTAAATGATGTTTTATTTTTGCAGAGAGATGAAGCAGTTAAAGTGTTTGAACACTTGGTAAGTTTGGGTGTGAAGCCTAATGCAAAGTCGTATGCTCTTTTAATCGATGCTCATCTCATCAAGCGGGATCCAAAATCTGCACTCTCCACAGTTAATGACATGGTAATGATGTGTCCATATTTCTTATCGATTTCTATTAAAGGGTAGATTGAGGATTTATGCAATCAAATAATGAGAATATGTTATCATCCACTGCAAGCAGGTGGTCGCAGGGTTTGAACCAACAAAGGAGATTCTGAAAAAGGTTCGCAGACGTTGTGTCCGAGAGATGGACGATGAAAGTAATGACAAAGTGGATTCCTTCGCAAAAGATTTTAAAATCCGGTTGGGTACAGAGAATCGCCGAGACTTGCTATTCAACCTTGAATTCAGCACTGAGTACGCGTAAGAGGTAGTTGGGCACAAGAGAGCTCTCGTTGCATCAAAGCTCTTACATGTAAGGTACCCTCATTAATTACATGTACCTTTAGAGTGCGATTGGTACGCTGTCTGGACGGGTGAGAGAGTGAGGTAGGCAGGTGAAAGAATTGTGGAAGGTTTTAAGGTTTTAATTTGACATGGGTAGTCTAGTAATTTACCAATATTGTCTCTTCTCCGTAATTTTTGTTCCACCTATTTTGACGGTAAATGAAGTGCATTTGTGTCCCCCACTGTCCCGTCTTATCCAAGTTTAATGTCGCATCAAAAGTAGGGAAAGTTTTTGTCTATCCCCTCCTATTGCGCGTACCATACACACCCTTAATAGCTTAATTCAATATATCTTAGTAATGCTGGCTCATCATATGTAGTTTCTGGAAGAATTTGTCTATATTTGTTTTCCTTGTTCCTTTTTAGGGGTGTGGTTTTTATTTTCTTCTTGGCAAATCCATAACACCCATCTAATTGACTATCAAACTCACCACCATCTCCTTGTGTAAAAGGAACATGCGGGTACTTGCATTCTCTCTCTTCATAACCATTATCACTCTTCAAAAAGGGGCTTGGATGGTGAGTTTGGGTCTCTCATACATGCAAACACATATACATATATACATGCATATATATATACACACACATTTATATAGGGTTGGTTCCGGTGAGAATGGAAGTTATGGTGAGAAGCGTAAGAAGGGATATCCACCCTTAAAGCAATCCTAATTGAAGATCAACACTGTTAGATGCACCGGATCAATTTTTGTATCATACGCAATTCTTGGGATGGGGGTGAGATTAAAAGCGATCAAGGGTCCGGATCCCTTCTTATTCTTCTCACTTTAACTCCTATTCTCACACGATCCTTCGTCTATATATGTATATTAATATGTAGGCGAAGGGTCGTGTGAGTAGGGAAATTATGGTGAGAAGCGTAAGAAGAGATCTAAATTCTTAATCACTTTTAATCTCATGCCCACTCATGAATTCTGCTTTACAAGGGAATTGATTTGGTACATCTTGGTGCACCTCATTAGTGTTGACATTCAATTAGGATTGATCCAAGGGGTGGAAATCTCTTCTTAAGCTTCTCACCATAACTTCCCTTCTCACTGGAACCCAACCCTTAATATTATACACATATATATAAATGCATACATAGGGCCGGTTCAAATAAGAAGGCTAAATACCGTGAAAAAGTTAAGGGAAGGTTCATATGTCAATAATTGAAAAAATTCGAAAGAAATCTATTTGAAGATGCATATGTAAACCGACGTTACCAATTATTCATATAGGTTCACATATGCATCTTCAAACCGATTTTTTCAATGATTCACCTATGAGCCTTCCCTTAACTATCTCTTCTTACATCCTCATGATATTTAGTCATCTTATTCGAACCTCCCGCTTTGTATATATATAAGTTCAATTAAGAACCGTAAATATTTTGAGAACCAGGAATCAACTCTTCATAGGTTTGGTTGAAAGTGCAAGATCTTGTAGCAGGCATTATTTGAATGTGATAGGGTTGTGGACAATGCATTGCAGGTATCGTCTGATGGGCTTGGCATCTCTTGTATTTTGGCACTTACCAAGAACTACTACTACTTACGCAGTTTTCGGAGTTCCCCTAATCTGCTCGTGTGTTGGCCAGCTGGTGAGATCTTCAAACCTGTGTCAATTACTTGGTTTTGTGCTCAATTTATAGCGCCTTTGGTAGTAATGACTGATGAGGATCGTAGTTTTTTGATTTTTCTTGTATTCCTTTGTGCTCATAAAGGGGCGCAGCGAGGTTGATGGGATTTGGCAAAATAATGGTAGGGCAATACAGATCTAAAAATTATTAGGAACTTACGAAGTGTTGATGTTGTTGCTTGTGGCATGCAAGAATTTCTTTCTAATTTGAAAGGTATTTTAGATGCTTTTTCACTCGAGTGTTTGTTTGTTTGGTATGAAGTGAGAATGTGGGATGAGTTTATTCCCAGGAAATCAAGAATGTGAACTTTATAAAAATATAATTCTCAGGAATGTGAGCATGAAGGCAGAGGTAGTGTTTGCAACAGAAACTTCCTGTCGGGAGATTTTGGATCCATCCCGGGAGCTTTCTGGATGCATTGCCCGACCTGGTTTTCTTTCTACAAAAAGTCTTCGAAGAAATTGAATAATCGACTGATAGGTCGTATATGCAACTTCCCTACCTGGACCTGATGATGTGAGGGATCTATATGTCCACAAAATCGAGGCTCTCGTTAGGGTTCGTGACACTTCTCGTTCCGGTATTCGGTGGGGACTCTGGGACCAGGGGCATTTTGCTCTCCGAGGGGCTACTTTGTATTGGGTCCGGGGGACTATTTTCTATCGAGTCTGTCTTGATCTCCAGTTATGTTCCTGGTGATGTCAATGTCTCCGTCCCTGGCGGATGCGGGTCCGTTTCTATTTTTGGCTGATCATCCATTCTACATGCAGCGAATTGAGAACATCGATTGAGATTGAGAGAGTTCAAAGAGAAGATTTTGAGAGTTTAGAGAGGATTTTAAGTTTGTAGAGAAGATTTGAACCTTCTTATTTGAACCGTTCATTATGGATTGATGAATATACATAGTGTACATGCATAAATGCATATATACATAGGGGGAAAACTGCAAAAAGAAAATGAAAAACTGAGGAACACTTTGGTAACCGTTCATTTGGACGGTATGCACATATCCATGTAAGCAATTTGTCTGGTATGCATTTGCATAACATGCGCACATGCATAAAAACCAAGAAACAATTTCAATTACTGGTATAGATGAACGGTTACCAGGGTATTCCTCAGTTTTTCAGTTTTTTTTACAGTTTTCTCATGAACCTAACCCTGCATATATATATATATATATATATATATATATATGTATATATATATATGTATATATATATATGTATATATATATATATGTATATATGCATGTACACTATGTATATTCATCAATGCATAGTTGGTGGTAAATAGGAAGGTTAAAATCTTCCCTCTAAACTCTCTCAAAATCTTCTCTACAAATTTAAAATCTTCTCTCAAAATCTTCTCCTTAAACTCTCTCGATCTCGATTGTGCACGTGGAATTGGTGATCAGCCAAAAATAGTAACAGACCCACAGCCGCCAAGGACAGACATCGACATCACTGGTGATAAACACATAAACATCACTAGAGATCAAGACAGACTCGGTAGAGAATAGTAGCGCTCGGAGAGCAAAAACGCCCCTGGTATTGGAGTCTCCAGTGCATCATCAGGTCCAGGAAGGGAAGCTGCATATTCGACTTATTAGTTGATTATTCAATTTCTTCGTAGAATTTTTGTAGAAAGAGAATCGTGTTGTGGCAATGTATCCCGACAGGAAGTTTCTATTGCAAACACTACCTCTGCCTTCATGTTCACATTCCTTAGAATGATATTTTTGTAAATCACCACCTTTCCAATCTAAACAGACAAATTAATCAACACAAATAACTTTATCTCTACAAGACTTAATAAAAAACCAAACAAACTCCTATTTTGTGTGGGATTGACCCTTTTCAGTGCTTACTCTCGTAAGTCTTCCTATTCACACTAGCTACAGGTCCCTACATTAAATCTACTACCCTACTTGTGCCTCTTCAAGAAATTCTATCGAAGTATATAGCTCACTCTATAAGCTTTTTCTTTCTAGAGCTCTTGTTTGCTCATATGGCTTAGTGTTCTCGAGTTGGGATATCTTAGTTCTGAGTATATTAAGGACCATGCATGAGTTTGTAAGGATAACTTTGTGACCATACACGATATACTGGTATGCATGGTGTTTCAGAGCCGACTTCTAAGAATTCAAATATTTGAGATCGCGATAGTAGACACCAAGGATCTTGAACTGATCCTAATTCTGATTTTAGTCTCAAAGCTAACAGGATTCTTCAAAACTCTTTACTAATGAAAGCCTACATGTGAAATATGAGGTTGATGTATCTTATTGAAAACTTTGTTGTTACAACTTCTTGTCATAGTCGATTCTTGTGGGAAACGGACCTAACATATGATCCAAGAGAAATTCTCATCCATGGGTAATTCAGAGCCTCACAGTAAGGCCGCTAAACAATGATTTAGCTCGGACTTTGTACAATTATAACAAGACATCATAACGATGAAAAAATCAATGTCATTCGTATATTCTGCAAGTCTTGTCACCATTTCTCCTCGCATCACCTACAATCAACCTAAAGTGAAGCAAAAGATCTAAAGGATGACCATACGGCAATTTCTTAGTATTTGGGTTATTTTTAGGTATTTCCATTAAAAAAAATAATAAGAATTGGGTAAAGGAAAGTCTGAAAATAATGATATCTCTGTATGGGATGATAAAATTTCCATTTATGGAAACAACATGAAAAGCTCTTATGAGAGGTAGTAAGATGAGAACAAAGAGAAACTGAAACAAGATCCAAAACCAAAAACATGGATTGATTCCCTTTTGTATAAAAAGATAACCCCATACCAATAATACTCTCTTATCAATGCCTACTGCCCACCATGGGCTTTCCTAGTTTCTCCCATCACTGCTGCTGCTTCTTCTCCTGCAAGATTACATCATTAGTTGTTTCCATACAAACTATAACCTATTGCCATGTGCTAACTAACCTCTGGTTCAGCTGATTTCGATTCTTCGCCTTTCGGGTGGTTTTCATCACCTGAAACCAAAACCATGACTCTCTCATCAATTCTGTTTGCACCAAGTATAAGGTAGATATAGGGGTTGTTTAGTGTTTACCAAACACTTGTCAGTTAAGCGTTTATTGGTAAAAGCCACCACCCTCACTTATCTTATTGGGTAACATTCTCGGTCATTAAAACGGATTGTTGGTAAGATTTTTTTACCCCGTAAGTGCTTACAAGGTAAGTCTTCTTCCTTCCTTACCGGATAAGATTATCAGTCCTTGGTATACCTCTTACCGGGTAAAATTATTGGTCCTTGTCATGCTCATCCACTAAGGTAAGTGACACCCGGTAAGCGGATCAAACATGCACTATTCCTACGGATGATTCAATTATTTTTTTCTCTGAATATAAGATTGAAGGTGAAATGTATGAATACCTCCATCTTCGGGTAAATCAGAGGTCCAAAGAGTGAGGTTATCTCTCAAGAGCTGCATGATCAAGGTGCTGTCTTTGTAAGATTCCTCACTTAAGGAGTCCAACTCAGCAATTGCCTCATCAAAAGCTTGTTTAGCCAAATGGCAGGCCCTGCATGCAATTTGGTTACAATACTTATAAAGTTGACTTCATGCAATTTGGTTATGAAGTCGACTTCATGCAATTTGGTTACAATACTTTTAATACGAATATATAGAGATGTTGCATAAACATTACCTCTCGGGAGAATTCATAATCTCATAGTAGAAAACTGAGAAATTGAGTGCCAGGCCAAGACGGATTGGGTGGGTTGAAGGAAGGTCTGTATTTGCAGCAGCAGAAGCAGCCTACACCGAAAGATCAATAAAGAAATGTCGAATAAAGAATGTTAATCGCCCATACAAGATAATAAACCAAAAATTAGTACTATATACAAGTGTAAAACTGCATCTATATACTTTTATGGAGAGAAAAAACGTGCCTCATAGCCCTTCAATGACTGTTCAGCAGCATCCTTCCTTTCCTGGTCGGTCTTGAACTCAGCAAGGTACCGGTAGTAGTCACCTTTCCTGTGGATAATTTGAACATAAAAAACAAAATAAGAAGTTGAAATTTATAAAATAGGCGATAAGCATCAAGGAATATCGACACACTACATAGTTAAAAAAGATGGAATTTGGTAAAGTTTAATTCCTATCATGTGATAGGATAGGAGCTTATTTAATGCACTACTTGCATGTAAAAAGGAACTTATCATTATAGAGGTAGCATCAAACCAGAACGGTACATATTTAAAAAAACACGAAAATGGATGAATCAGATGCGATTTTACACTAACATCACATACAAAATCACATATGATTCAGGTGACCTAGCCGGCGACCTGAAGACCCTGCCACAAGTCGCGCGGACACTTTTTTGACCATTAATGTAAATTCACATGTGATTTTATATGTGATTTGCCCATTTTTGTTTTCTTTTAAACGGGTATCGTTCTCGTTTGAACCTGCCTCTATCATCATATGTACCTAAATATAACTTCCTTGCCTAAAAGATTCAATATGGTATGCTAGGACACCAAAAGGTAAGTTTGGAAAGCCTGCATATTTAAAAGATTAGAACTACAATCTGCAACAGAAAGATGGACAACAAAAAACTCAATTCTGGCAATTATGGTAGTATGATCAACAAGTTGATCAAAAGGAAGAAAAAGAGAGCGAGGAGAAAAGCACATATCACATCATACAATCACCAAAAAGTGAGTAATAGCATAACAAGTCAACATGACTCACATCTTGTAGTAGAAAACAGTAGCTTCTCCTGAGCCAGAAGAGGGTATCAGATGCTTATCTATGATATCGAGAATGTCACTGCAAATTTTGGAAAGTTCATCCTCAACCTTTTTACGATAACCCTTGATCAGGTTGACATTGCCTTCATTTCCTTTTGATTCCTCCTTTTGTTCAATTGATGACATAATACGCCAAGATGCCCTCCTTGCACCAATGACATTCTTGTATCCAACTGATAGGAGGTTGCGCTCTTCAACAGTAAGTTCAACATTAAGTTTTGCAACACTCTTCATACTTTCAACCATCTCTGTAATTACGAATCCAACATAATTATGACCATCATGACACACACGTACAGTCAAAGTATCTTCATTCAGATTAAGCTTCATCTTTACATTCCATTAAAGAAATTTCAAGAAGCCAGTCAAAAGTTCAGATGAGAGATGTGCTATGCAAGTTGATAAGCAAACTTCCAATTTGCCAACTTATCAATGATCAAATAGTGATCAAGAGTGGATTAGATTATACACAACAAATAAAAAAAATTCCAATTTTTACCTGTTGCCAGAAAAGAGACATTTCTAGTACTAAAAATACAATTTCCATGCGAAGTCATTTATAGAGATCATATTTGAATCCGTGAGAAATTTATTAACCTATATCCTCCTCAATCCTTGGCCCCGTTCCCCATTTCAGGTTCCGACTTATAACATATTACAGTATACAATATTAAAGAAACAACACATCAGGTATACATTTGTTTCCTAAAGCCAACATTACCCCACCCTGTTCTTCCTGTAATCCGTAATTCCGTATATAAACCATCCATGCCTTTTTTACCAAATTTTCAGTTAATATTCATCATTCAGCATGACTATAGTAGTATAGTGATACGGATCAAAACAGCATGATTCCAAATTGATCCAACGACAGAATCAAAGATCCATCTCACACACAAAGACGTAAAAAACACACACCAAATTTCAGTTAATCCATTATAAAGCATGCATACAGTGATACAGAAGAAAGCAACTTTGCAAGGCGACATCTTACACCATAAATGCTTATGTCATGACAAACACACGTTAACAAATACACTCGTACATATAAAATAGACAGAGGAAGTTGGTAGCAAATAATCCGCCCCTTCTGAACACCTAATTTTCAACTTTTTTGGACAGCATGCAGACAGTGGTGAAGATCAAAACAACATTCAAACATCCACCAAACACCAATGTACGTTAAGAGACCAAACACTCACATGTACAAATCAAGGTGAAGTTGATACAAATCATCCATCCGTTTTTACGCCAAATTTTCAATTGTTATGATTTTGTACAGCATTCATTAACTGATACTGATCAAAACGAAATTCCGATCAATCTAACATCCCAAGATCCATCTCAGAAAACAAATATGCACGTCAAAAAACACACCCTCACACATCCAAAATCAACAGATGAAGTTGATACCAAATCGTACACCAAATTTTCAACTGATATCCATTGTACAGCATACATTCAACATACCTAATCAAACTAACAGCAAAAGATCATATCCATCTCAAAAGACAAATGTACATAAAAACACAAACTCACACATCCAAAAATCAACAGATGAAGTTGATATATACCTTCATAACGCTCAGCTTGTTCGGCCAGCTTCGCCAAGTAAACATGATTTTCTCTTTCCTTTTCGTTCGACATTTTGTTGATTGATTCTGCAAGTATAATCGATCGATCGGATCACGAAATACCGTTGAGGATCAGGATGATGATGATCTAGAGAGGAGGTTATTAGGGAAAGAGGGAGTAATTAAAGATGGAGGAAGCATAAGACTAAATCTGGACCGTCGGCTTGGTTTGAAGAAATGGGGGAGAATAGCGCGCAAATCGTGTGGTCTCTTCGGGGGCTCGGGATCCCATTCTGTCGGGAAGTTGTACTTTCTATTTATATACGTTTTACTCCCCTCTATTTTTAAAAAGTACCTTTTTGAACCTATATTTTATATTAATGTGTTTTTACGAGTCATATTAATTATAGAGGGTTCAAGGATAATCGTAAAAAAATGAAAAAAACAAGAAACAACTTAATAACCATTCATTTGTACGGTATATACTTGTTCACACAAGAAATTTGTCCAAAATGCGCACACACACACACATACATATAAGTAATTGAAAATTTTTCATGCCTTCTATACACGTGTTTATATGCATATCAGAAAAAAAAAATTATATGCATATATATATATATATATATATATATATATATATATATAGTACAAATTAATGGTTATGCGATGTTTCTTAACTTTTATTTTTTAGGTTGTTGTTCTTAACCTCACTTTAATTACATACACGTAGAAAAACATATCCCATTTTATATAAATTGTTGAAAAGAATTCAAGAGTTTGTTGAGATTATTTTAATATACATACTTTATTTGTATATTTACAAATAATTAAATATTATAAACTATTTATGAGATTGGTTGTAGTAGTGTGTATGATCGGGTTGGAATCGAACCGATTGAAACCAAATAATAAAGATATGGAACAAAAAATCAAACCGAACGAAATTGGTTTAGATCTACAATCTGAACATTCATTATCACAAAATTGGTGATAAATTTATGATTATTGAGAAGTTTCGTGGCAATTTTGTGATTATTGAATGAAGACTTGGGATCATGTGAGACCAAGTAGGGATGGCAAAAAAAACCGAAACCGACGGTGAAAACCGAAAACCGAAACTTTCGGGCCGGGTTCGGGGACATTTTATCGGGGACGGGACGGGGATCGGGGACGAATTCGGGGATTTTAACGGGGACAGGGACGGTGATCACCGGCCCGGCCCGATATGTATATATATATATATATTTATTTTAATTTATATATATATATATATATATATATATTATATCTTTAAAAAAAGTAACATTAAATTTTTTTTAAAAATTATCCACTTTACCTCAACAACCCAAATAAAGCTCACGAAAAGTCTAGTTTATTTGTCAAAAACCATGATTTTAGTTGTATGATGTTCAAATTTTTGTTTAGTTTTATATTGTAATATAATACATTGTTTGTAATTGGTTCAATTATGTTTGAGACATTTAAACTTAGATCTTTAAAAAAATTGTAATTTACTTTTAATTRTGAAAATTAACATATTGTAATTTTTTTCATATCGGTTTCGGGTTCGGTTATAACCAACGATGAAAAAGAGAATTTTTACCCTTAATGGGTTCCCCAACGGGGATCGGGGAAACCGCGGGGACCCGATGGGGATCCCCGATAAGATCCCCGACGGGGATCGGGACGGTTTTAGCTATCGGTTTCGGGGACGGGGATACCAATACCCGACCCGAACCCGGCCCGTTGTCATTCCTAAGACCAAGAGTTTTTCGTGAAACCCATAAGACCAATTATCAACCCTTGGATTAAATCTACAATCTGAACATTCATTATCACAAAATTGCTACGAGATTTCTCAATAATCACAAAATTGTCACCGTGCAACTTTAGAACATTCGATCAATAGCTTATAAAGTTGATTAATGAAAATAAATTGGTCTTACAGGTCTCATGAAAAAATTTTGGTCTCACTTGAACCCAACCCTTTAATCAAATATGAATATATTATCCCTAATTTATTTAAAAGATAGTGCGTCCTCCCAACCCATATAAATTAAAATCCTAATTTTTTCCTATTTTATCTAACGTGTGTAGAATTTAATTGAAATTCCAATATTTTAATTCCAAACTTTCTTTAAAACCAAATTCAATTCTAAATCCCACCAAATCAAACAGGCCCTTACAGTCTTCCAAACTGAACGTTACATGACCTTTGCCGCCTATTCTTTCAAATGTAATTTCGAGTTACAAAATTGATCAAAAAGGAGCATAGAAACATGAAAAGATAGACGAAAACAAATTCGGATGAATGAATTCCTTTCCAAAAAAAATACTCGTGGCAGCAAAACTTGCTCTAATCTACAGCTCACAAACGCTTCGGTTTGTTTCACTCTCAAGCTTCTTTTTTATCTACGATACACTCATGCCAAAAATTTCAAGTGTAGAGCTTCTTTCACCTTGCGCCTTCGTTAGGAATCTGGTACCATCATCGTATGTGTCGTTTACATGTGGAGTCATTACCAGACTTGTATAACATCCAAGGAACGATTAACCTACATTGGCTGCAAGATTCATTTTCTTACAAACGGCTTTTGGCAAACAAGTATCCTCTGATCACTGCCATTTTCAAGATCGATCACCCTTGCCTCCCATCGTATTTGTGTAGCAATTGTACGAGCCTTCTCTATGGACCCCACTTCATCCGATAGAACAACCCATCCCTGGAAAACCACCAAAAATTGAATCACATTATGCTCACTAATCCAAACCAAAGCTAGTTTATCCCACCTCAAGTGGGGTCTGGGAAGGGTAAGATGTATGCAGACTTGACCTCTATCCCAAAGAGTAAAGTGTTGCATCAAGTTCACTATGGGAGGTAAAAGATTGCAGCAATTATGCTCGGATAAGTTGTACAATACAACAAACCATGGTAATGAAAAAAGAAACCCAAAGCAAGAAACAAAGAACCGATATAGGAACTAGAAGATACACATGAGGGCCGTCGATTAGCATGTTAAATCTTAGTTTTTGAACAGGCCCCAGATTACTCGCGCTTGGGACCTGGATTTATACAGTTCACCTCAATAAAGATCAATCTAATGTCTTTCAAAATCAGAAGTGGCTATTTAATTTCAGAATTTACCAAACAAAAACGACTCTCTGATATTCTTCTCACTTTGTCATTTTAAACATTTTTGTTGTTTTAATTTGTAACATTTTTTTAATATGATATTAAATTTTATATTACTTATTACTCATTTCAGACGATCTATAGTTTTCGTACAGACCAGGTGTAGCAGGGCCTCCAAAAAGATTGGAATGTCCCTGAATTACACATTGTGCTTCTAGTTTGAACCATTCAAAGATTTGTTTTCCATCTTTCATTTCATGGGTCCTATCTAAATTCTTCAAAGAACAGACCCACAACGGCATTTTTCTTTATCCTTGCACCATATACAAGACAAACGAAAATGTTGGATGTAAATAGCCTAGATGAAGATCCTTACCTCAGGACGTAGGATACGATCCATCTCGAATAGTAAGTTTGTGATGCTGCATCGTTCCGACATAAGGTATGAGAGGAGCCCATTCGCGTGAAGCATGTCGTATGTCCGTGGGTAAGTAGGGAAGGGTTCACACCTGCAGTTGAATATGGTCCACATAAGCAATAGAAAGTTGAGGATATTTACATCATATGCCCATGGCAGTTGCTCACAACCATCGACTAGAAGCAACATTCAACATTCAAGTCTTCGTGCAAAATTTTCGACCACATTCAAGTTTCCTAAACTTAGGGGCCGTTTACCAAACGCTTTCCCGCTAAGTAAAATTTTCAACATATCACTTACTTACCGGGTAATATTTTAGTCCACCAAAACGGCATCGTATGCAACAATTGACCCGATAAGCGTTAACCATGGTAAGAGTCCTGCTCTCACTTACTAGGTAAGAATCTTGGTCCATGCAGCTCTTACTGGGTAAGATTCTTGGTCCTACCATATTCATCCGATAAGGTAATGTGACTGGGTAAGCGTTTAGTAAACGGCCCCTTAGAGGAGAAGCATATGCTCATGTACCCTGGTCATAATATGTTGACAAAAATGTTTGCAGAACATTCCAACTCAGATATACTCCCCATCCGAAATAAAGAACATTTTTTTCTCAGAAAGTAAGATTTGGTCTTTCTGATGAGCGGATCACCACAAGTCGCTCTTAGTATATTAATTATAAGAATTGAAATTCATTTTATCACCATACATGTAAAAGAGATTGCTTTTGTATGGATTTTATAGAAAAGATTTAAGTTATCATTTGTTCATGAAAAAGCATGTTTGAACGACACTAATCTGGTCGGCTAAAATAGCAAGTTATGAGAAGAAATACATCATAAAAAACTGTAGCATTCTAGTTGATAAGTTCCCAAAATAAATTTCTTAAAAAGCCTACAAAATGATGTTAATTTTGCTTAAAGTTCGAGGGGAGGCTTGTTTCACTAGGGGTGGACTTATGGAGGGAGTAACACGTACAAGGAATTAGGAACCAAGTCCTTACCAATCATGCAAAACACCAGCAAAACCTTGATGGAGTATGACTGGGAGCGTGTTACTTGCTCTGATAGGCACAACATTCATCACCCACACTGATTTTCCTTCTTCCAGAAATGCAGCGTTCAAACCACCATAATGCGCATTCATGTCCATCACATTTCTTATCATATTATATGGAGGTAATGGATCCTCATCACCCGGCCTTTTAGGATGATCAGAAAAAATCAAGGGTGTAAGTAAAGACCAGTAGTTTCTTAAAGCTGATAATGAAGATTCAAAGTCTTCATAGAATTCATCCTGCTGAACTCCTGTAGACAGATGTAAACATTGTAGGTGTAAGAATAGTTGGTTGGAGTGTTGAACCTACGCATCAGCTAAAAAATAAATTAAACAGAACTGGAACAATGCTTTCCATAAATTTCAAGCTCAGCAGGGATCATCTGGGAACCAGAAGACCTGTTCTGAATGGGAACCCAGCGCTTGCTTGTAGTCCCTCCCACACAAGATGCAAGTGGCTGATAATAGGACTGAATATCCTCCCTTTCTTCTCTACAAGGAGGGATAGCACCCTGCACGCTACAATCAAGAACGAGATAGATTTCAACAAAAAATTCCTTAAATATTTACCTAGAACTGGGAAAAGGGGAAACTAATGATAAATAGAAGGTGAATTATACATTATGCGATACAATAGTGGAGAAGTTAAGTGACACTTCCAAAAGGAAGAATGCAATCACATTGCATAAGAAAGAAAAAAAATCCTTCATGATGAACAATGAGAAACGTAAGATCAAAGTCAAGACATGCGTACTTCTACTAGCCTTTACCTAGATGAGTAGCATTGGGCATCAATGGTTTTCTGCCAGATGAAAGTTTCTTCTTGCTGAGCTATAAATGTCCAACAGATTTTCCGAGCAAATTCTTCAATAGGGCTGGCCATGCTTCCCTTCTTTGTACTTAATGAACTCCCATGTAAAACAAAGTAACCTCCAGGCTTAAGTATTCGGTCAGCTTCAATAAGCAACAATCCATCTGATTCATGAAAATCTTTGTTAGGAAGAAAAGAACAGTACTTTTACACTAGTTACAGGGAGTAGGAACATTGGGAAGTGGATCTTTCTACTATGAATAAATAAGCATCAACTGATATGGAAGATTTGGAAAAAGAAACATGACACTAAGAATGGAAGGAGCCATAATTTAGCACCTGAAACATAATTCAATAAAGTGATTAATTTCTCTGAAGGATGTCTATAAGATGATAACAGATCCGAGGTAAAGCAGGGGTGACATTGGCATTTGCATTATAGTTCATTTAACAAGTAAACATACGACTAGATAGAACCAATAACTACTAAATATTTGAGAAAATCCAGTAGAACTGCAAGTCAGGTACCAACTCATCCTGGATTGTCTTTATAGTTCCAAAAAGATATTGTCAAGTAAATAGAGAGCAAGGAGTAGAAAAACTATATGTGGTTGATGGAAAAAGGGTTAGGATATAATTCTTTTTAAAATTTGAGTTGTAGAAATCAAACATAAAATACTAACCACCAACATAAGTACATACACCTTTTAAATATGAAACGGCTTTCACATCTATGAACTATGGTGCAGCCAAAGGTCAATCATCCAAGACAAGAATGTGTTCATGGGTATGAAGAAATAATAACCCAACTGGCGAAAGTACCTTTGTCATCCCACAGAATACCACATTCTGCACAGTGAACCATGTCATATGACAATGCTGGAAACGGAAGCTGCCTAGAATTGAAGTTGCCAATTATTGCTGGAAGACCTCTTTCAAGGGATATCTGAACTTGGCTACCAGTTAACTCATATGCAGCCATACAAACAGGCATTAGTTTAAGTGAGAGCAAATGAGCCCCAAAGCTACCAAACCCGCAACCAACATCAAGTACTGTGCGCACCTGTTAACAGCATTTAAAGTGAATCACCCAAGGCATAATAAAATTGCTTTTCCCCCAAAAAGAGGTGAAGTACACTGATGATCATATATTCATTTGTTATAGAGTCTATAAACAGAGGTTCCATATAGCTAATGAAGAAAATCCATTGCGCATCATAAGCTCAGCGCTACAAATGAAATCATCATTAAATTCAATTAAGAAAAGCTGTGGAGTATCTGTCAATACTTACACCAGCTTGATGAAATTCCGCATCACTTCCCAGTCCTATCATCTCCGCAACTTGATGGGAGTAATCTTTGACACCATCAAACGTCAATCCGTCATCTGAGTGGAAAGAAATTTGGTTCTCTTCCATTAGCATTAACCTAAAAGAAGATTCAAGGGAATATGTCAAAAAAAGCTATAATAAAATTCACAATATTCCAGTGCGTTAGTGAGTGTTAGTATAGTTTAAGAAGTATGAGTGGGCCAGTGGGGTGCTTGTTAAATACTAAGGGTTCCAACTCATATGTCGAAGAATTAACTGAAACTTGAGACTGACACTTGTTTTTAATACAGGGCCATGTGATGCCCCAGGTTTTCAGGGCATATATTGGTCACGGCAGAGTGCTTGCATCATGACTTTAATTTATCTTTCGAGTAAAACAACTCTGATATTATTGATTACATAGTTGAAAATTTTAATAAGTTACTTGACATGGGGTTAGCACTGCTTGCTAACAGTGTCTAAATTAAGTAAATAAAGTTGTATCCATGAGAGAAATAACTTAAGGTTTCCTATTTTCACTTATTTATCCAACTTCACATTAAAAAAGAAAATACCTTTTCGTCATGCTCCCTGAAGAAAGGAATTGGTCTTTGGTTATCTTCACATTTTCATTCCATATCACATCTCTACCAACTGGCCAACTCAGGGGTGTTTTATAGTCCTTTGGAGGACGAACCAAACAGTACGGTTCACCTTGTGATACTTCACAATGTCGATCAAACTCCAAACCATTTTTAAACCCAGTTAAAAGATTCGCAGACACGTTGTAGCAAGGAACGTAGTGCTCCTTTTCCTTTCCACAGATCCTAAGCTCCTTCAGGTTACTAACCCCTAAAGATAAACTAGTTAAATCCACATAGTCATTTACCGCTTGCTCTTTTAGTCTTCGGTAGTTTGCATAAATGTCTGGTTTCACAGTCAATGTGACTGAGTCAAAGGAACTAGAAGAAGACGAACCTGACAAAATAATAAGTACAAAAACACTAACTAGACAAAGGATTAACCATATCCTTGGCAATCTAGGTCCAAAAACCATACAAAGTTTTTTGATCAAGCGCCTTCTCATATCCAAATGCGCAACCCACTTCCACAACTTGGCTTCCAGAAGCACTATAAAACTACCGTTTCACCTTAAACTTCTAAAAAATACGTCACGTATCATAACATAAAATCTCTCGGAAGTACTATCACTTGGGAAATAGTTAATTTTCAAAGGCTAATTGGATTTATCTACGATCATGACAGCAAATAGCAAAATCCCATGACATCAAACCCTCAAATCGAGATTAAACACTCGATGGATATCAGTGAAGTAGATTGAGCAACCAATCACACTCAGAATCCTCAATTCCAGAACCAAACAATTTCCAGTTCAATCAACCAAATGACAGCAGAAATTTCTTCAGATCAACCTACAATTGTCATCAGAAGTTCGTATTATAACCTAATATAATATCAAAATCCAAAAGAATAGACACAATTTTACAAGTGGCACCAAAAATTCATACTTCTTCACAGAATGGAGATGGATCTGAAAGGACCAGATACAGATAAAGCCAATGAATAGAACTCAAACACGCCTCCAAAATGTAATAAATACACAGTTAGACACACCAATCTTAAGAGACGATGAAAAATCCGATAACCACCGTAATGATTAGGGTTTTCAAGCAATTACGAGGGCGTTGAAAGTGTTGAATAGATAGAGAGGAATGTATATACGTACATGCATAGATTCGATTAAGCTTTTTCTGGGGATAAAGCTCAATAGTAGTTGTGATTCGCCATTGACAATGAGAGAGAGATAGAGAGCAGTTTTTTAGGGGGAGAAAGAGAAAGACAGTCCAGTAATTTCGGTTAATCGTTTTCATTTCTCTATCTTACTTTTTATTATTCATTTTGTTGATTCTTTTATTTTTTGTTACACATTGTTTGTTACGCATCATATGTTAAACATTTTTACATTTAAAATTTGATAGAAAATATTATAACGGTAATTTTTACAGTGTTTTTGTTGCAAAAGTTCAGCTTTTTTTTATCTTCACAATATTTTGTTGTGAATGTTCGAGTGTAAAAATGTTGTTTTACGAAAACAACTTTATCTTACGTAAACCCAATCCTGAGATAAAGAAAATCTTTATAATATTTCCACCAATAACATGGAGGCTAAAATGTTTATGAAGAGAATTAATATTTTAATAATATAATCAATTTTATAATCTTCAAAATAAAAAATCTATTTGAGTTAGATGTAATTTTTTTTATCGAGATTTGAAGTTTTGATTCTTCATTTTGGAGAATCCAGTGGAGATGCTACTCACTAATTCACTTACTCATAGTATTGGTTAACAAGAGCAACTTCAACACAATGAAATTATCTGAATTTGAAGAACTTTCCAAAAATGATTACTGAAGAAAGGACAAATGATTTTTTTTTCTACAGATGAGAATCCTTAGAATTAAATGGGGGACTTTCTTTTGAGAATTTATGAAATTATGATAACTTTGACAACTTGTACATAATATGTTATTTCATATGATTCTTTTTCATCTAAGATTAAGATTTTAAATATTTGAAGCCGGAGATAAGAGAGAGAGAGAGAGGAGGGCTATTTTTAATTTTTTTAAACTCAAAAATATATAATTAATTTAATTATGTTGGAGTTAGTTGATCAAAACAATTTAAGCAAATAGAGGTCGTTGACCTGTTTTAATTTATATTTAGTCATTAATATATAATATGTCACCCTCAAAGTTTGGTAGCTTGAGAACCGTTAGACGACTTAAATTTTAAATTGATTTTTCCCCTTATTTTTTCTAGATAAAAACGACATTATCAAACATATTTTGAATTTATGAGAAAAAACGAATATTTCAAATATGTATCATTAATTCTCCATATATTTTAAAACATACCCATACCCTATCTATTTAATGGCTTCCCCTCGTAGATTGTTCAGATAAAATTTTACAGATCTTATATGATATCATAGGCAATTATTTATTAATCTGCCTCCATTGAAAGTCCCATATCGGCTAAATTGAACCATTTAGAGAATGTTTAACAGTTGTTGAATGATTTGATGCATAATGATTAAAATACTCTCATAATATAGTGTAAAATGAAGTATATTTGTTCGGTAACTTTTTACAATAAAATTAGGACGCTTAATGGTTAAAAGAGACCATGATACAAAATCATTCAGAGGGTTTTAAAACAATTAAAAGACAGACTTTTCTTTTGCCAAACAAGATTCACCTCCTAACAATTAAGAGGCTATCTCTTAATGGAACTATTAAGAGGTAAACAAACAACCCCTTATCCTCATTTTCTTATGTGAGTTTCAATTTTGGATCATCCCAGATGCACCATAAAAATGGCAAAAATGGATTTCCATTCAAAGACTTCCTTCTTATTGCATACAATAGTTCTAAAATAGTAAAATTTCAGGGGAAAAAAAGAATGTTACATATGGAACATGAAGCTACAGATTAAATTCGTGTTCAACACTTAGCACGTTGTCGACGTTGAGGCACAAGCTCTGAGCGAATCGAGAAGAATATCCTCGTTTAGCGACCGGCCTGCACAACTCAAAAGTAAGGCCAGTTCCATTGATTTACTTACCAGATTATGAATTTATTAGTTTACCTATGAACACGATTTTATTCGTTTGCTTTTCACCCTTTTTCCATTTTCGAGCAGGAACTATTTCGTAGATCTCCCTCACAGCCTGCAAATTCAAGACATCCAACAACCGTTTCATAGTCGAGAGTTCTTGAATGATGGTACAAATATACTAGGAAGTGCTTGTGCCGCACAGCAAATTGACGTTTTTATTTATACTTTTTTTGCTTAAAGAGTTGCATAACGATGTGTCTAGTACATGGGACAGGACAGGACAGAAACAGGTCCTACATTTGGTGCACTATTAGACTCGGACAGGACGCGATTGAAATAAGTGGAACAAAAACCAGGAAGATGGGACAAAATCGGTAAATTACTAAAACTATAACCCTAAAACCTTCTACAAATTCTTTCACCCGCCTACCTCACTCTCGCATGTCCAGTTCTGTCCAGTCCAATCTTGTCTGTGTACCATTAAAACGGGTTTCATGTATGAATGATTACCTGTACTGTATGTAGTTCATCAGAATTTAAGACACTTAGAACACCTTTGCAGCGGTACACATCCATATCATATTTCTTATCCCAAAGGAGCTCCTCAAGCCATATACGCACCTGCGGGAATGCACAACGATGTAATACAAAATCTATGTGGAAGCGAAAATGAAAATTGTAGTAAAAGCAAAAGCTCTACGCCAATGGCCAACTTTCCAGGGGGGCTAGGAAATGTTTCAAATTTTACATCAGTAAGACCAACATAGTGATGATGACATCATTGGAGGCATACGCGATATGAGACGGGTCACGAAAGCTTGCAAGACGGTTTGCAAAAAGTTTGGCAAACCTGAGCCAAGGGCAGCTTGTCAGCCAAACTTATAAACCCCATATGAACCATTTAAGGCTGTCTGTTAGCAGCTTAATGAGCTTAATGGGACACACAGCTTATTCAGTCAGCTATATATGACTGTTTGGTAGTGATTTAATGATATAGAAAGTGGCTTATTCAGTCAGCTATATATGACTGTTTGGTAGTGGTTTATTCAATAAGCTTCTAGGGGGAGCTTTATGCAGAAAGCCAAGATTTTTCTGAACCTGCCCCTCCCAATTAAAAAAAGGTCCTTCGATCTACCGAAAAACCCTTCAAACAAAAACATTTCCAATCTATACACACCGATTAATCCACACACAGACAATTTTATACATAACGGTCTTAATAGAAAACCAACCAAACAGCCCCTTAGTATAAATTATAATCTTCATTTTATTCCAATTTTATAAAGAGGGTTTAGTCGTTATTTTAGTTAAATTGTATAATTTTAATTTATATGAGTTTACAGAGCTGAGCCTATAGAAGCCATGAGATGGTATACTGTTCATGGTATTTTGAAACCGATGATAATAATGAACCCTAACATCTATTGATCATTTACATTCTTCTGGCAAGCAATTGGTCTTCACAAAGCTGAAAGCATACTACAAATTATGAATTACTGGTCAAAATACCTTATCAAGATCAACCGGCTGTGTATAACAAACACACATAGTCCTCACACCACTATCATGAAGATCCGTAGTAGTTAGTGACTTGTTTTCTTCTAGTAACTGTTCCAGGTGAGCGGCATGCTGAAATGTAAATAGAAATCGTGGGCAAAAAATCATAGCCATCAAAATTCACATATAAATCATTAAGCAAATAAATAATTTGGAACGAGAAGGCAGGACGAATCACTAACCGAAGCATCATACGCACTGCAATTTAATACTATGGACATATCTACTTGACACATCACAGAATGAACGATATTAGCAAGTGAATTAATATTATGCAACTCCTTCTCGAGTTCCTCTAGAGCATCTGGAGAAACCAGATCAATCTTGTTAAGAATTACAACATCCTACAACAAACGATGGAAGACAATGAGCAAGTGAAAGGTTCGGAAATCTTCAAAGCTAACATATGATATGACCATCAAACAAATTATGGTGAATGGTGAAAAGTATCATCCAGTCCAAAGACCATAGGTCTACCGGAAGTTCTACTAGGAATTATTGAAGTTCTAAGCAAGATGAGTTGGCATCTTGACTTGACTTCTTGAAATCTTATGTGAATTAGCATTGAAAACAGACTTCATCTGAACAAGCCAAGCTTGGCATGATATGAGCCAATAAAGTACACAATCAATTAGAAATAAAACACACACACACATATGTATGCATACATATGCTTCTTAAAGTTGCAGTTCGTTGAAAAATATATTAAAATTTTCTCATGGGGAAAAACGCACTTACTTGAGTAAGATGTTATCAGCCATGATCGGCGTGAGTGCATGACTCAGCGCAAGAGCACACCTAAAAATTATGTGTTCAAAATTTAAATTAGCACTTACTGCGAATGCTATCTGTAAGAAGGCTTCAGGAAACGTGGACGAGTCTTCATGCTTCTTGAGCTGAAAACGAAGATTTTTGGCATCTACAACCTGCCCGAGGATAAATTTCAGCGATATATAGACTTATGCAGCCAAGTTAATTCACAAATCCCAACACAGTAAAGAAGCATTATCAAGCTAATTCACATGTGATGTAGTCGACGCCTTTTGCCACCAAGAACACTTACCATGTTTCTAAACAAAAGGGTTGTACAGCAAGGGTTGCAGCAAAATGAGAGACATTCTTTTATGCATAAAATGGAACAGTGGTGGCGGTTAACATTTTAGACTCACGGTTTGTATATGAGCGTTTAGCTTATTAGCTAAATAACGGAAAAGAGGCAGTCGCTGATCTTAAGCTCATTTGGAGCAAGAATTCAGCAAAAACCCGCAATTAAATTTCTATTATGCAGTTAAAAGCAAACATTTAACTTTACATTGGAACAAGAAACTTACAGTGATAATGGAGTCAAGCTTGACTGCTGATTCTAATTGATCATCCAGCCAAAGAACAGACGCAAGAGGAGCAGGGTTTGCCAGCCCTGTGGTCTCTAGTAATATATGATCCAATCTACATACACAGAAATATAATAAATAAATACTTCTTTTAGAATGTAGATGTAATTTTTCATGAGCAATCATTCCAAAATTCTAGAGAACCCACTTACAAATTACGACATGCAACTTAACAACTAACACAAACACACGTATGATGATAGGAAGAACCAAAAATCAAAAGACAATTCTTACACAACTCATTTCTAATCCGTACCTGTGTTCAAATGATTGATATGCCATTGGATACATGAAGGCTAATCTATACATAGAACATGTGTACTTTTACATAAACAAGATATATCAAAATGTGATATACCAATACCATCTCACGTATTATTCGATAAAAACAAGCATACTAACAAAATTCATAACAAACCAACACAAAAGAATACTCATCAGAAATACACGCAAGCCGTACAGAACTGTTATATGAAGCCACATGATATATCGCATATGCAATTCCAACAGAAACACAAGCTCCAACCAAAATAAGAGAAGTCTCTTTAGAAGGGAATTACCTTTCCTTCCTGTCAACAAGTTGTTCCAATGCTTGAACCAAGCTGTGTTTCACAGTGCAGCAAATGCAGCCATTTGCAAGCTCAACCCATTCTTCGACAAGTGCACCTCCTTCACCTTCATTGATCATTGCTCTTTCAACTCCAATTTCCTCCCCAAACTCATTCAATATAACAGCTATCCTCTTTCCATGTTGTCCATTCAATATATTATTAACCAGCTGAAATGAAATCAACAATCACAACACATAACAAAAGAAAGTTATAAATGGAAATATCATCATTACCAAGGAAATGAACATCCGGATATACACATTTCCAGAATGGACGTTTAAGAGATGAATTGCTTAAGCCTATAATTCCAAACGATCAATTGTTTTAGGGTTCCAAAATGACGTACAAGTTAATGGGCATAGCGCACTATATCTTTTCGACAACATTTTTTGCCATCAAACTCCCAAACATTCAAAGAAAAACTTCAAGCATACCCACCCATAACAAAATTGGGTATGCAGTGATTGCCAATCTATTTTCAAAAAATTCCCAGCTGAAAGCTTAACCTAAGATAAACTTCCCTGATTGTACTTCCTTATTCAATAACTAGGGTATAGTTTGCGACTTAGCAACGATCATATATCCACAAACGGCCTCTATATCGGTACAAACACTCCATAGTTAACTCCATTATGAGAAAGTACATTACAACAGTGCTAAAATGATAAAAGATACTGATAAGATCGAATTAGCAACAGTACAGTGGATTTGCCAGCTCCGAGATAGCCGGTGATGACAGTCACGCCGACCGGTGGAAATTCTTCTACGTTTTCATGCTCTTGGAGAGACTGATTGAACGATTTATGGTCTAGGGTTTCGTTGATCTCGACGGCGAGAGGCGGGTCTTCCTCTTCTTCCTCCATTTCTGTGTTCGTCGTGCGATTTTTCCAGTCAATCGAAAACCCCTGTTTTGTTGTTCCGGTCTTTAAACCTTTTTATGTTCAAATTTCAGTTCTTCCCCTTTAGTTTGAAAAATGATTATTACACCCCTTCTATTGTTAGCATATCATCAAGGCCAAAATACAACAAAGAAATTGTAGTGAAAAGATCCTCTATTGTTAGCAAACCATTAAATTGAAATTATCCAAACGTATATAATTAGAAAATATGGTTATAATCGCTTTTTAAATAGAAATATGTTCCTTTTTTAATTAAAAAAACAATGAAATATCACTAGGGGTTGTTTGGTAGTTGCTGAATGGTTTTGTGTAAAATGATTAAGTGGTCGGAATGATTAAGAGACTCTTATGATATTGTGTAAAACGAAATATATTTGTTTGGTTATTGTTTATAACGAATTAGGACGTTAAATGGTTAATGAAGACCCATTATACAAAATCATTCAGAGAGTTTTAGAACCATTAAAAGACAGACTTTTGTTTTGTCAAATAAGATTCACCTTTTAACAATTCAGATGTTACATCTTAATAGGTAAACAAACAACCCCAAAACAAAACAAATCACACAAAATGATCATATGATTATCTTGGATCTGACATTTGTATTAATATATTTTTCATATGTTTTTTATGGTTATTTAATTCTCTGTTTTTAAATTCTCTCCTAATTTCATCCCAAAAATCTGAATGAATAGAAATTTAAATACGATCACTTGGGTGTAATAAAAAGAATTGCATTTATAAAAGTTGCTATCAAGAGAATTTTTAGAAGAAAGTTTATGAAAATATAGTATCATTCAAATTTTATATTAAAACTAGTATAAACTGCTATCAGATAAGATAAATGTATCGTGTTTAAAAATAAACTATGTAACAACACCTTATGTCATTGTAGCGTCTTAACCAAAATTTTATTAATTTCAGTAATATCTATTTAGAGTTATGCGTAAAAAATGCTCAGTATTTTTTATTTAAGGTAAAGTAATATATAAGAAAAATATATTTGAGAGTGAACATAAAACAAGAAGCCTTAACTAAGGATGGTGATTTGTCCCGATCCGATGGGAAACCCCGCTCACCCTACCCAAAGGGGGACGGGGATTCTCAACTAAAATGGGTTACAGGGCCCGGGATCCCCGGTAGACTCAAACCGGTGTCGGGGCCGGGACGGGGGATGTTACTCAATCCGGGTCTAGGGATCCCCAGTAAACTTAAACTAGCGGATATTTACTATGGGGTTTGACTAGGGACGGGATGTTAATCCCCATATCCGCCGGGGATCGGGGCTAGGACCGAGGGCTATTACTGAAAACCGGAGTGGGGATTATAAAACCTGCACTATCCGCACCCCGTTGCCATGCCTAGTCTTAACCCTAACAAACTCCCAATCTCATTATGTCATTTATATAATATATTTACATTAAACTAATTTTATTATGAATTTATTATTTTACAAACAAAATCCTAAATACTTTTGAAATTACAAATATGCCCTTTGAAAAACCATGAATTAAATTTCTAACATTGCATAAAAGTCAATCAAAAGAACAGTAACAACTTCCAATTTAGGTATTCTTGTAATCTTAATTGTAAAAGAATGGGTTGCTTTCAAGGAAGATGTGAAGTGTGAGCATTCAAAAGGTTATCATCCCACGTTTGAATGTCTCCATGATGTCAAACTCACACCTTCAAAATCAAACAATTATATGTCAAAATATTTATAGAAAATTATTTGTCCTTTTATATATATTTTTTATGTTTTATTGTATAATACCCGATAGATATCCAGTGAAAAAATCATATCTACGTTAGGTTCGAATTCAGACACTGTCAAAACTCTTGTGACCATAGAGGTTCACCTGTAATAACTCCAGACTATCCGTGGTCGTTCGAGGGATTAGTCGGTACGTTTAAGTTACCCCCAAAATCTACAGTTACCCAAAAAAGTAGGTTTATTGTTTAGCTTTAGAGAATTTAAGTTACGTTTGGTTTACGATAATTAAATATGTAATAAAATAGATTTATATAATGAAACAGAAAAAATGTAATTGTTTTTAATCGAATTAACCATTCTTTAAGAAATGAAATTCCTTTCGATTTTTGTTCCTTAAGAAATCAGTAATTTTTTTTAGTAATAATTTAATAACACGTTTTGTAAAAGAACACGACATTAATCGTAATTATTGTATACAATCGATAACATTTAATTGAATCTACAAACTTATTTATTTTTGTAAATGTATATTTTCTAAAAAAAAATTAATATTTTATCTGTTTTATAATCTTGCTATCTATTATCTTGTATTATTTTATCCAATAAAAAAACTTGATGAAAATTATAATAATATTTAGATACTCGATGATTCGTACACTCAGGGGCTATTTGGCAATTGCGGAATGGTTTGCTGTAGAATGATTAAGTGGTCCGAATGATTAAAATACTCTCATGATATAATGCAAAATGAAATATAATTGTTTGGTAATTGTGTACAATGAAATTAAGGCTCTTAATGGTTAAGGGAGACTCATTATACAAAATCATTCAGAGGGTTTTAGAACCATTAAGAAGCAAACTATTTTTTTTTTTTGCCAAACAAGATTCACCTCTTAACGATTCAGATGTTGTCTCTTAATGAAACCATTAAGAGGTAAACAAACAACCCCTCATTTATTCATTGGCTTCTACTTTTATATTGTAAAGACTTTATGGGTTAATTATTGAAGCAATAACTTGAAGAATGATTTAACATCTAAAAGCTTGAGATATGTCTTAAATGTTTGAAGATTTATGTATGTGTATTAAAATGAATTAAAATACAAAAACAGCTTCTGAAAGATCTGACAATTGGAATAAGTATTTGAAGATGTTTTTTGTTTAGTAGAAATCTGATATGACAGATAAATTTTAGTCTTTTAAAATGGTGACCATTACGAATAATGATAAATCAGACAACCGTTTATTCAATAAATATCCAATCAAACTATAAAATTATCCACATAATAATTTAATATTTAATTTTATAATAAATTATTAATACAAGAATATACCATAAGCAACTAGGGGTGAGCATAGGCGGGGTACCCGCCCTTTTTGACAGGAACCGGAACCGGCGGTTCTTGAGATATTGGAACCGAAACCGGAACCGGTTAGAGCGGTTCTTAAATTTTTGGAACCGAAACCGGTTCCGGTTCCGGGTAACCGCTTCCTAAAATATTAAAAATTTGTTATTTAGAAATAAAAAATAAAACAATACCAAAACACTAAATAAATAAGCAAAAATACAAATTATACAGAATAATGGTTACAAATATTGATTAATGATTACAAACCATAATAGACTAATAGAAAATGTTCAAAATTTAACGATTACATACTATAATGGTAATTGTTCAAAGTTTAACGATTACATACTATGAATCCAAGTGAACACACAATTTGAAAAAATACGAATCATTTTATATGAAGAATTTAGATGAAGATTGAAGATGACGACGTGCTTTTAAGATGTAAACCTAATATAAATTTGGTATTAAAAAATAATAATTATTTTTTTATTGAAAAATACCGGGTACCCGGCGGGTAACGGTTCCGGAAAATTGAGAACCGGAACCGGAACCATTCTCAATCGGTTCCGTATTTTAGGAACCGGAACCACTCATATCGGTTCCGGTTCTGAAACCGGCGGTTCCAAGACGGTTCTGGTTCTATAACTGGGTACCCGATTCCGCTGCTCACCCCTATAAGCAACCACAATAATCCATATATCATGTGACATGCAAGTTGCAATATTGTATTTTAATTGACTTCATCAAAGATCATTCCTTGACCTATGTCATTTGGTTTGGAACCTTCCTCATATTATTATATTCAATGTTTTATTTATTTTAATATTTACTATAATAAAATTAGATTTATAGGATATTACCAATAAATAAATATACTAATAGATTATTTAATGACATTTAATTTATAGAACTAAAAAATAAAGTGTCTTATATAAAGGCGTTGTAATGAGTTTATAAGACATTTTTTGACGTCTTAAAAAAACTTTTTGGTCACTTTCAATACAAAACGTTACATTAGCTATTTTATAGAACACTTTTGAGAAAATATCATATAAACTCATCTTTTTATAGGACACTTATGTTTATACAACATTTTTTCAAATAATGTTCTATAAGACAACGAATATGACATTTTTTTAATAAAAGTGTCATAATAAACTTGTTACGACGTTCAAAAGCGTTCTATAAACTTATTATAACGCCTTTAGATAAGACACTTAATTATTTGTCATATAAATTACGGTTTACAAAATGATCTATTAGGATGTTCACTTATTAGTGACGTTCTATAGACCCAATTTTATTGTACTGACTGAAATTTTAAATAAATATATAATTTAATGTAAGATTGAACTGTCAAAGCAAAACACAATTATAAGGTATTATTTATAAACGAAAAATGGTTAAAGTAAAAAAAACGATATCCCAATTTAAAAATGACACGTAATTATAAAAAAGACATTATAAATTCGAAGGTGACATCTAACAATTCCGTGGTCGATATATCGATGGACGAAGAAGTTGAAGATAAATCCAATGATATTTACATATTTCTTAACTATTTTTTGTATTTTAATTCCTTTAAAAACAAAGAAATTTGTCAATTAATTACTTTTTAAATCATATTCTTTCAACTTATGCAAAACTCAAAAGGGTTTTTTTTTTTTTTTTAAGACAAAGCAATATATTAAATAAAAGAAGAGTTTATTATACAAATATTATAATTGGCAAATTACATGAAAAAGTAACGTACTTTAACTTGATTCTTATTTTGGGTAATGTACTTTTGAAACTTCCATTTTTGTATCTAATATGTAAAGTTTTAAACATTTAAGTATCCAGATAAACCGGTTGAAGCATTAAGCGGTTACCATGCTGATGTGGCGAGTGATGAGATGAAATTGGGTTGAATAACAAATAATATTG